AAGTTTACATATGTGGAACCTAAGTGTTATGAACGCTGAATATGTTGTGCTGTGGAACTTAAAAAAGGATTCTAATCGCAAGAATCGTTTGGAAATCGATGACTTTGTACACAGATGGGTAACAGTGAAAAATCGCAAAAACGCAACTGCTGTAGTTTTGAGCCACTTACGTAAAGGCATTGCATGCACGTGCAAAAGGCACAACAAGCATTATAAAAGTGCAGGATTTTTGATTTTGCTTCACTTCGGTTAAAACTCTCAGCACAAATTTCACAATACCAAGACTGAACGATGCTCAGAGGAACAATAACACCGGACGATTGCAAGCAGGCGAGTCCGGGTCAGAGGTAACGAGGTCTCCACTAGCACCATATCGATGCCATGGAACCGCTACCAACAGCAGGGATCAACACGTGACCTTCCCAGATCCGCTAGACCACATGTCATCACTCCTACCCAAGACAGCTACATCCGGTTGGGCCACCTACGCCAAAGGACGACAATTGCTGCCTCCACTGCATCCTCAGTACCGGGACTGCGCAGGATCTCGGACCAGACTGTCTGGAACCGTCTACGAGAAGCAGGGTTGCGACCAAGACGTCCTGCTAGAGGCCTGATTTTGTCCAGGCAGCATCGCCAGCTACGACTGCAATAGTGTCGAGCGCACAGGGTATGACCTCAAGGATGACGGAGACACGTATGGTTCAGCGATGAATCCCGATTCATGCTCTGCAGACAGGATGGAAGGACCCGTGTCTACTGCGGAATAGGTGAACGCTTCGCAGCATATTGCATACAGAAAGTGGACAGATTTGGTGAAGACGTGTCATGATGTGGGCAGCTATCTCTCACAACGCCAGGACAGACTTGTGCAGACCAGGGGGAACATGACAGCAAAGCGCTATGTTGATGAGATCTTGCGTCCGCGCGTCGTCCCCACCATGGCCAACGTGAACGCTGTTTTCCAGCAGGACAATGCTCGTCCTCATACAGTACTCATCACCACAGCCTTCCGAGCAAACAACAACATCAACGTTCTGCCATGGCCTCTAGATCTCCGGTTAGACATCACCTGTGATAGTCTAGTTATTTTACAGTCCTTCGATGTCTGATTATTCAACAATCAAAATGTATTGTGTATGTAAAACATTTCTCGTCGCTATATGGCTGAAATTTTGCCGAGGTGACGTTAAATTTTAACTCACTCCAGATCCCCGGATTTAAACCCAATTGAGCATCTTTTGGATGAATTGGATAGACGTGTGCGACGGCGACAACCACGACCTCAGACACTACAACAACTGGCTGCCGCTTTGACGGCTGAGTGGGCTACAATTCCACAGGCTGACATCCACAATCTGATTGCTTCTATGGGCAGGACGTGCCAGGCAGTAATTGACTCTCAAGGGGTAACACACGTTACTAACTGTACGTGACGTCAAATGTGACGTTGGACATTCGATGGCTGTTACTAAAGCCTCGGTGGCTGTTGTTTATCTGTACAAAATTTTAAAGTTCTCACACTTTTAGTTCATGTAGTAAATGTCTTTGAAACATCCAATGAAAATCTGGCTTAGCGTTACTTTACGCACGCACACACACACACACACACACACACACACACACACACACACATCTGTATATTTTCATCAATTGCTTGATAACTGTGTAAGAACCTACAGAGAAACGTCGTTCTCACTGTAATAAAGAGCTTGTTCACCAATATATTGTTATCCTTCCTTACTGTTCAACTTCTAAATGCCTCTTCAAATGTTCAATTGTATGCCGCTTTTAGCAATATTTCAGCAATGTCCAGAAATGGGCTTCACACAGTGTACCCATGTGGGGAATCAAACCCGGGCCTTCGACGTGATGAGCGAACGCCTTAACCACAAGGCTATCCCCACAAGGCTGTCTTCTATTATCTTGAGTGATATGATCCGGGATTCTGGACAGATAGGCGGACGGGCGGATATACAAGCTGATTACTATAATCCACGTGTAAACACGCCCATTAAGCAAAAATATTACCAAATGGCCTTGTTTGTGTCGACATGTGGCTGAACCACATGACAGGTGCAGAGCAATTGAATCACTAAACATAAATGAGTATAGTTTAACGTTACTCCCAGCAATATCCCAGCGTGTGATACCAGAAATGGGATTCAAACGTTTATCCATATGGGAAATCGAATGCGGGTATTCAGCGTGACGAAGGAAGAATCAACCATCCCCTGCTGCCTAACGCAATCGTGATGTACCTTAGCAGATTCACACCCTGTCCCCAGCAGGGGTACAAAACACTTACATCTAACTGTTAAATCTATATCACTATTTATTTTTATGTAATACAATGTAACACCTGAAATTAAGTTTTTATAAACCTGAAAATGTTTCACCGGGGTAAATGTAAAACACTACCACCAACACAACATCTATTTATATATTTTTTTAAACATTTCATACTGATATCTTTTTCCACCAAAAGGGATAAATATTTTAATGTCAAAACAATTTAGGATCTTTCTTAATTGTGTTAATCATCATCAAATAAAGGATTTTTTAACGGAAATAGAATTATTAGAAAAATTTTGAATAATATGTTTTGTAAATAGATAAATGACATTTTAAATATGGTAGAATAAATTAGCAACTGAGATTGTTAGAGGCTGTATCCTCAAAGGGGGTTGAAGTATCGTAAAATTATTGTTCTCCTGAGAGGATACGTAAGTCCAAAAACTTTCAATGTTAAATTCAAACTTACCAGCTTTTTAAACGCAGTAGTTTTGTTATTTTTTAAACTGTTGGCTAGACTTGTCCTACAATCGCCAGCGGCTGAAGGGATGGTGTAAATCCAACTAGGGTCTATGCAGGTAGCAAAGGTACTGTAAGTCCCCATGGTCCCTGGTATGGTGATCTACCTTCAGTTGTTGGCGGTCTATAGCCTGTTTTTATATTGTATTGTCAAAATAGTGCTATCAGTTTTAACTTTCCACACTGGTTTTAGTTGTAATTGTGATATTCTAGTTGTTTTACTGTCCTTCCTCGACAGGTTTTTATAATATACATATATTCAATTTCAGTGTCAAATATGTTCTCGTCACGATATAGCTGAAATATTGCCGATGTGACGTTAAGGGTTAACTCACTCACTCACTCACTGATATGTTTTACAAAACAATGTAGTAAGCAGGTTGTATTTAACGCCACTTCGAACATTATTCTAATTATACAACGGCTTATCAACGGAATATGGGAGGTAAACATCAGGTCTCAGATGTGTTCATTTTCCGTCAGACCAACAAGCACCCGTGTACTACTTATCACATACCAAGAACCATACAAGCGACGAAGCGGGATTCTAACCCCAGTCGCAGATTACTGGTTTGCCCAAGGATCGCTACTTCACAGAGGGAATAGAGGTGCCAGCGACAACAGTGCTACTCAAGCTAACACAAAGCCACCATGGCCAACGTGAACGCTGTTTTCCAGCAGGACAATGCTCGTCCTCATACAGTACTCATCACCACAGCCTTCCGAGAAAACAACAACATCAACGTTCTGCCATGACCTTCCAGATCTCCGGTTAGACACCATCTGTGATAGTCTAGTTATTTTACAGTCCTTCGATGTCTGATTATTTAACAATTAAAATGTATTGTGTATGTAAAACATTTTAAATATGGTAGAATAAATTAGCAACTGAGATTGTTAGTGGCTGTATCCTCAAAGGGGGTTGAAGTATCGTAAAATTATTGTTCTCCCCAGAGGATTACGTATCCAAAAACTTTCAATGTTAAATTTAAACTTACCAGCTTTTTATGTTAAACTGTTGGCTAAACTTGTCCTACAATCGCCAGCGGCTGAAGGGATGGTGTAAATCCAACTGGGGTCCATGCAGGTAGCAAAATGTTATGTAAGTCCCCATGGTCCCTGGTATGGTGATCTACCTTCAGTTGTTGGCGATCTATAGCCTGTTTTTATATTGTATTGTCCAAATAGTGCTATCAGGTTTTTATATTACCGATGTGACGTCAAGTATTAACTCACTCACTCACTCACTCACTGATATGTTTTACAAAACAATGTAGTAAGCAGGTTATATTTAACGCCACTTTGAACAGTATTCTAATTATACAACGGCTTATCAACGGAATATGGGAGGAAAACATCAGGTCTCAGATATGTCCATTTTCCGTCAGACCAACAAGCACCCGTGTACTACTTATCACATACCAAGAACCATACAAGCGACGAAGCGGGATTCTAAACCCCAGTCGCAGATTACTGGTTTGCTCAAAGATCGCAACTTCACAGAAGGAATAGAGGTGCCATCGACAACTTGCTACTCAAGCTAACAAGAAGAAATATATAAACTCATCGGCCACTGAACGCCGAAGACCCGGGTTCCAATCCCCACATGGGTACAATGTGTGAAGCCCATTTCTGGTGTTCCCCGCCGTGATGTTTGCTGGAATATTGCTAAAAGCGGCGTAAAACCAAATTCAGTCAGTCAGTCAGCGATACTGTTCCACTTGAGGTACGTCATCATTTTTCATACCACCCATTAGACATGATTACCGGAAATTGCTATCTTAAGCTTAAATTCTCAGGGGTACACAACGCCATTGCTAACTTTCATTACCACTATAGTAAATGGCAAACATACCCTCAAGTCATCATTCAAAGCGTTGAAAGATGGGATTCATACAATTCCAGGGACATTTCACGGTTCGTTCTTATTCATGTCTAACATATAAAGGACAAAACATCGATATCCGGCAATTAGCAATAGAGTAGGGTAAGACATTAAATAGACAAAGCTGTTCAGTTGCCGATGGCGAGTGCCCTTCCGATAATGTCTAAAAGGTTTCTCCTGGACACGAACATTTTTGCCATGCTATGAATCATTTCAAATACTATGTCTCCACGTGTGGCTGGTTTCACTGGAGCTGTGTTGTTTGTCCTTGAGAAGGAGCCACGCTGAAAACGTTTACGAAATGTTTGAATTACTCCGTTGTTGCCTTCTCCTTTTGCTCTGTCACCTCACCCTGGGCTCTAATTCCTTCAAAGAGAAAGATTTCCTGGCCAACCTCACCTTAAACTACGACCCCAAGATCCGCCCAGTGTTGGATGGTTCCAACACGACAGTGAGTATTAGTACGGGGTTGTACTCACTTTTATCTCTGGATGAGAAACAGGAAGTGCTCAGCTTTAAAGCATGGATTGTAATGGTGTGGAAGGACCATCGTTTGGTGTGGAACATGACAGATGGTATTCCTTTTGCAGTCACTATGCCCTTGCCGGATGTATGGTCTCCAACCGTACTGAATATTGATTCTGTGACGAACTTGAAGTATCTGAAAGATGAAAGGGATACTGTGTTTGTCTCTGCGGATGGTACAGTTGTGTATTCGTACACAGGCAGGTTTGACACAGGATGTAAGGTGAATATTCAACGGTTTCCTTTCGATCATCAAGCATGTACATTTCATTTACAAATGTTGTATACCCAAGTAACCAAGGAATATCTTGAGGTAGCATCCACGAATGTCATTCTGGATGTATACAGGCAAAACGGAGAATTTAACCTTCTCAGTGCATCCATGGTGTTACAGGAATTCATGACTCTCGGTGTTACTCAACCCTGGATTGAAGTTACCTTCGTCCTGAAGAGACGAACCACTTTCTACATCCTCAACAACATTCTGCCTGTCGTGTTCCTGTCCTTTCTCAACACCTTCGTATTCTGTTTGCCCGAGGAGAGTGGTGAGAAGATGTCATTGTGTGTCTCCATCCTGTTGTCCTATGCCATGTTCCTGACCCTCATCAACTCCTACCTACCAGCGAACTCCGACCACCTGTGTTTCTTCAGTGTCTACCTCACCCTGCTTGTGTTGATCAGCACACTCACATGTCTCGTCACAATCTTCATGCTGGCACTTCACACTTATTTTCAAACGGGCAAAGCTTGTCCAAGATGGCTGCCAGTCGCTTGGAGGTCAGATAGCAAAGTTGGAACAAGTGAACCATGGGTTAAAAAGGAAGACATAGTTCCAAACCAATCTGATGTAAACGGTAAGGCAAACAATAAGTCGGAAATGAAGGACTTGATTATCGCCAAGTGTAACAGAGTGGCATTTGGAACGTTCTTCACTGACAATCCTCATTAACGTTATATTTTTCATTTCCGTATCCCCATGATGGACGGCTGTCAGTGAGTGATTGCCATTGCCTATTTCACATACAGATAGAGACTCGAAGAGGAAAGCTTGAGACATCAGAAGATATGTTTTTGTTGAACATCATTCACTGACATGGCTGAGTATGAACTGTGGATAAAAAGAACCATCCTTTTACATTCATTACTTATGTGACTTATAGACAGTCACGGAAGAATACATTTGATTAGCCAGTATGTGTCATGTGTTGTATGAGGCTTTGCTGTCATTGGGGTGTCTGTAGACTGTGCATGTCAAACTGATCTAATGAATTTAGTGTTAAAGATTTCTATTGCAATCCGAATTCCGATTGTACTGTGCAAACGCCACCTCACACTTGTATCTAGGCCTCTATATCCTTATTCTGTACCCTTGCCTCACCTAGACGGGTGATAGAATGGGCCCGGTTCTATCAATCGGCTGGTCATGCCAAGCCCTCAGCATTATTTTGTTGCTGAAATTGTTAAACTACCTCAATATTTTGTCAAAAATCTTAGCCGAGAAATATTGTACTTGAAATTTGAAATGTACACTTTATATCCTGTAATTTGCCTAGAGTCCTAGGCTCAGAAGGCAGTGGCTCATGGGCCAATCTGGTAGCATAATTAATCATGCCGAGCCCTCAGCATTATTTTGTTGCTGAAATTGTTAAACTACCTAAATATTTTGTCAAAAATCTTGGCCGAGAAATATTGTACTTGAAATTTGAAATGTACACTTTATATCCTGTAATTTGCCTAGAGTCCTAGGCTCAGAAGGCAGTGGCTCGTGGGCCAATCTGGTAGCATAATTAATCGTGCCGAGCCCTCAGCATTATTTTGTTGCTGAAATTGTTAAACTACCTAAAGATTTTGTCAAAAATCTTGGCCGAGAAATATTGTACTTGAAATTTGAAATGTACACTTTATATCCTGTAATTTGCCTAGAGTCCTAGGCTCAGAAGGCGGTGGATCACGGGCCAATCTGGTAGCATAACTATTTTTTTATTTTTTTGCTGGAGTATATCATACGGGTATCCCTGGTGCTGCAAGTCGAAGATCCACTTGTTATTAGCACTGTCCTTATGATACTCCGTGGCGGGTGGGGAGCTCGGATGATGAACCATTAATACTAACTATGGATTACCAAACCGTGTAGAAAAAACGAAACGGATGACTGTAACAACAATGTAAAAATATGCCCCAGCTGCGAAGGAAGTCACTCGTCTTTCTCAAAAGAATGTCCCATTTGGAAACAGCCAGTGGAAATCGACAAAATAAAATTTAAGCTAAACATTAGTTTTGCGGAGGGAAAAAAACTAGTCCAAAATCTGAACTAACGGAAACATGCTTCCGTATCTAAAACACCGTCTGATACAACCACAGTAGCTAAAACACCTTCAAGCTGTCAAACCAACTTGAGATGGATCAAACCTGATTCCCCTCAGATTTTGTCACCTGAAACATCCACTCAGACTGCAGAAGTACTTCCAGAGCTTTATCGTAGGCGAAATCTCAGTCAATATCAAAATCTGATTCTCAAACTATGTGAAAGAAATCGCAAAACACAAGATGAAATCAAGAAGTGAGTCTTCAAACAAAACGTCAAAGTGGCAGATCCGCAAAAGGTTCTACAAACAAAATCCAGCTTTTTAATAAATGTCGATCGTTAGAGGACATGGATGTGACCAAAAAACTCCAAAACAGGGCAAATAGCTTGTCGCCCGCTAGAAAGGCAAGGGGTGCGACCACAAACGCCAAAAAAAGAGAAGAATTTTACTGTCCTTCGTTGACAGGGTTTTATATATTATATGTATGTATTTTGAATTTAGAACTAGTTTTAGTCACGATATGGCTGAAATATTGCCAATGTGACTTTAAATTTTAACTCACTCACCATAAACGCAAAAGGTAAAATTCTGGAGGATTTTATTTTGATTTCAAATAACAATGTATAAATAATGATCGTACAAATACATATTTACATCTTGGCACAGGAACATATTCAGCTCTTGATTTGTCAAATGAATGAATTTAAATGGACCTCTGTGGAAGTGAAGTACTAAAACCTGCCACTCACTCTGATGTTCCTCCATCAACCACGATGGAAATTTTAGAAAGGAAGCCTTTTCAAAGAATCTAACAAGCCCTTTATATGAAACAGTGTGTGCGGCCGAACGTAAACCTGAACTTTTGATTGATGTTCCTGATGCTATCAAATGGTTTTTTTCTGATGAACTGAATACCATAGCTGACGAGTGTATACCAAAGTTCTCTACAATTCCACATTCGAAAACCATGGTTCAACGATGAGTGCAAACAAGCTAGGAAGGCAAGGAAAAAGGCAGAAAATTATTTCCGTCGCAATCCTATGGTGCATAACTTAAACAAATTCAAAATCGTAAATGCTAAAGCGGGCGTACCAAGGAATGGAACAAGGCACAGAGAATTAACGGTAAAGATCTTAAACATGGAGATCAATTACTTAACGATTACTAACGAGTCAAATCCTGCATTTAACTGTGTTTTTAATCCACTTTATGAGGTACTGTACAACAACAGAAAACATATATTTCTGCTGTCGCTATTGAGCTGGAAAATATATCTCCTTCCCGTTTTCTTCGCCTCCTTGGCAATTGGTTAGGCCTCAAGTCGACCTAACATTAAGCACATTTAAAAAATCAGAAACTAATGAATTACAATATAAACGAGAATTTAATCAATTAAAGAATAAATATAACACATACAAATCCTTATTTGCAGATGGATCCAAGGATGGTGGCGCTGTTGCTTGTGCCACTGTCATTGAATCCAGAACAATATCTTCTAGAATACTGGATAACAGCTCTATTTTTACAGCAGAAGCCAATGGCATATTAACGGCTTTTAAATATATTCAAAGACACACTATACATAAACAATATATAATGTATTTTTACCCTCTTTTTTGCCTTCTGGCTATTAAAAACTTATCTTGTAAACATCCACTTTTAATAGAAATTATTGAATTATATAATGATCTTGCAACTGGCCAATACGACATCGTCTTGTGTTGGTTACCCAGCCACAAGGGAATACAAGGCAGCACTCAACAAATCTGTGACACCACTTCATTTTCCATACTCTGATTATAAAGCTATCATCAGATCTTATATCCGTTATCTAATGCAGAAGAAGTGGGACACCCAAGTAGGTATAAATAAATGACATGAAATAGAACCTTATATTGGTTACACTTACTTGGGTTGTCAGTCCAGATTTGAAGAGGTCATCATGCGACGATGTCGTATTGGCCACACAAGATATACTCATGTATATCTATTGAAAGGCGAGGATCCTCCGTTTTGTATCCCTTGTGATGAGAGAGTCACTGTCAAGCATATCCTGACTGACTGTGTTGAATTCTCCATCATAAGGGATAAATATTTCAATATCAAAACAGTAAAGGACCTTTTTTAATACAGTTAATTATCATTTAATCAATGATTTTTTAAAAGAGATTTGTTAAATAAATTTTGATATATGTTTTGTAAATAGCTGAAGTTTTATAATTGGTAGTTCAGATGATCAACTTAGATTGTTAGTGGCTGTAACCTCACAGGGTGTTGAAGTAGCGTAAAATTATTGTCCTCCTGAGAGGGTACGTAAGACCCAAAACTTTCAAAGTAAAATTTAAACATACCAAATTTTTTAAACGTAGTGTTTTATTATTTCAATCTTCGGCTAAATTTTCCTACGGTCGCCGGTGGCTGAGGGGATGGTGTAAATCCAGCTAGGGTCCATGCAAGTAGCAAAGGCACTGTAAGTCTCTATGGTCCCTAGTATGGTGATCTACCTTCAGTTGTTGGCGATCTATAGCCCGTCTTTTATACTGTATTGTCTTCTTTAATTGGAATGTTTTAGCTTTGCTCGCTAGTTTTATATTCATAGCTGTGATTCTCTAGTATTTTTACTGTCCATCGTCGACAGGTTTTAATCTTCAAAGTATTTTCACTTTTTATTGTATAAATTGTTTTCGTCACGATATGGCTGAGATATTGCCGATGTGACGTTAATTATTAACTCACTCACTCATTGGGTTGTCAGTCCAGATTTGAGGAGGTCATTATGCGACGATGTCGCATTGGCCATACTAGATATACTCACGAATATTTATTGAAAGGCGAGAATCCTCCGTTTTGTACACCTTGTGATGAGAGAACCACGGTCAAGCATGTCCTGCTTGACTGTATTGATTTTACCATCATAAGGGATAAATATTCCAATGTCAAAACAATTAAGGATTTTTTATAATGTAAATTATCATTTAATATTATTTATAGGAAATTATTAGATAAATTTAGAACAATGTGTTTTGTTAATTCATAAATGGCAGTATACATTCGCAACTGCGATTGTTAGTGGCTGTATCCTCAAAAGGGGTTAAAGTATTTTAAAATTACGAACCACAGCATTCAATGTAGATCTATAATACACTTATTAATTGTTCTCGTCACGATATGGCTGAAATATTGCCGAGGTGACGATAAATATTAACTCACTCACTCACTCACTCACTCAAAAGGGGTTAAAGTATCGTAAAATTACGAACCACAACCTTCAATGTATCATACCAGAGTTTTAATCGTAGAATTTGTGTTATTTTAATTTATGGCTACACTGTCTAAACTTGCAAACAGCTGAAAGACTGGTATAAATCCATCTTGGGCCCATGAAGGAAGGAAATGTACTGTAAGTCCCCATGGTGCCTAGTAACGTGATCTACCTTCAACTGTTTTCATATTGTATCGTCTTCTGTAGGTAAACTATTTTAGATTTACACACTAGTTTATATTCATAACTGTGATACTCTAGTTGTTTTACTGTCCTTTGTTGACAGGCTTTTCATAATTTACATGTATATATGGTGAATTTAAAACTTGTTTTAGTCACGGTATGGCTGACATACTGCTTAACTCACTCACTCGCTGTATC